GCACAGATATTTGCTGAATCAGCAGGACCAACGGCTGCTCCTCTTGCTTGGTTTCAGGCCAATGGAAAAACATGCCAGGATGCCTTTGCGAGGCCCTGTGGTGGTAACTGTGGGGTCTGGGAAGGGTCTGGGAGTAAGGAAGGAGAGAGACAGGTGGAGCAAGGCATAGGGCCTGGTGGGGAGGAAGGAGGCAATGGAGTTTCCCAGAGGCCAGGGGTGACTTGTTTCTCTTTAATTGTGTTCTTTTTGGGTTAAAGGGAGAGAAGAGCAGTGGTCTGGGCCCTTGGAAAGGCAGAGGCCAGCAAGTCTTTACAAATGCCCACTCCGTGCCAGCTTCCAGGTGAGCAAAAAGACACACGCTCCCTCCTCTCCTGAGCCTTCATTCTGGCCCCATTTCCCAGTTTACCAGCTAGAAGTCCTCTCCTTGCTGGAGCCTGGGGAAGAGAGAAGGAGGATACGCAGGTTGGTGAGCATTGGCCATAGTGTTGCTTGCTCAGCAAGCAGGCCTTCTAGGCACAAGGTAAACAAGGACCCTGAGTGCTGAGGCTCCCCTTACCCTGTTGAGAGGGGGTTAGCCTGGTGGGAGGGGCCTAGGGTAGGGGGACTGCAATGTCAGAGGATCTTGCACATGCAGTACAGTGCTCTCCGAGGACTGACTCTTCTGGGCTCTGTCCCCCCTCCAGTTATCCTTGGCTCTTACTATTCCTGACGTAAACCCTTGACTTCATCCAAGCAGTCCTTCTCTCTGGGGTCTGACTATGGTTTATATGCTCATCCTTCTTGCCCTGTGCTGTTCTGATAGTGGGTAGCTCTAAGCAGCTGCAATCTGCTTACACTTGTTTAAATGTTTCTAGCTACATGTCTTGCGTATGTTGAGCAAAGACTGTTTGCTTCTTTCCCAACTTTCCACAGCACAGAGTGCGGAGTTTTGAATGGACTGGACACTTGATACATAGAGTTGACTGACTGACAGACCTTCCCACTCTTTTAGTAGCTCCCAGGATTGGCCGATCATCAGCTGCCACCTCCAGGCAGACAACACTGACTCAGTAGCAGCAGAGATACGTGCTTCAGTTGGCGTCTTAGACAACTCAGGCTAAAAAGCACATCCAGTGATCTTGTAGCCATCCCCCAGCCTCCAGTCAGTATGAGACCACGGAGCTCAAAAGATGACCTAAGAAGTATTTCATGCTTAGAGGATGGGAGTAGACAAGAGGAGACTTCCCTATGCACCTTATGTGGAAGCAAAAGATAGAAGGAAGATAATATGGGAGAGAGAAAGTGTTTGAGGGAGAGGGAAGAAGGGAGGAAGAGAGAAGGAACAACAAAGGGAAAGGAGGAAAGTAGTAAGGAGGAAAGGAGGAAAGGAGAAAGAGGAAGAGTATAAAAGGGAGACAAGGGAGGAAGGAAGGGAGGAGAGGACAGGAGCTGCTGAGCCAGTCAGACTTGACAGCCACTTGCAGGTGGGAGTTCAGGGTAGGAACTAGATTTGAATTTTAATGCAACAATCTTACCCAGCCTCCAGTAACCCTCTGCTCCTGGGCTTGGGGACATGGGCAAGCCTGGGATCCATGGGCTCTAAATGCATGGCTGGGTGGGTGGGCAAACAGGTGCTCAAACAGAGAAGCTGTGGTCGCACTGAAGCCAGTAGCTTCACGGAGGGTCATGTGCTTGCATGGCAAGGAGGAGAATTTGCCAGGTCAGGCTGAGGCTCTCGTTCCAGCCAGGAAAGAGATATTCAATTCTGTGGATGCTGTGAGCCTTGATTGAAAAAAATAAAGAGGAAGGCTACGATTGCTGCTTTCATTAAGAGGCGAAAGCAGTGGGGGCTGGAGCTTAGCAAGAGCCAGGAAGCAAGCAGAGAAAGAGTTTAACCCCTTGAGTGTCTTTCTTCATGATATGTTTGCACTCACCCACCCCCACATGGTTGCTGCCTTGGCCTGATCTCCAAGGCCACCACCTTCATATCTCCCTCAGCTGAAGGAGGGAGAGAGGCCAGGCTGCATATTAATGCAGATCCGATGACAATTAAATGATACATTATTTCCCTGTCCCAGGTTCCGTTGGTCTCCTGCCTCTGCTGGATTTGGGCAGGAAGAGGAGTTCTGGGGATAAAAGACCAACTGGGTAGTGAGATAATGCATCTAATACCATGCCTGGCCCTTGGGAACCCCTACCCACCTCTACCCACCCCTCAGCAGCCTCCACAGGGCTGCATTCTCACTCTAATGAGGCCAGAGAAGGGAAATCAAGGAATGAGAAAAGATTGACAGTGAAATTATGATCCGAAGACCACCCCCTCTGCTGTCTCTTCCTACTTGAGCACACCCAGTAGAGAAGTGATGCAGCAGGAGCTCCCCAGGAGAAACACCAGCATGAGGGCTGCCGGCTCTGCTCCTCCTCTGCTCACTTCACCCTGTCCGTGAAGGTCTCTCTCTGCTTGCTGGCTGCATCTAGCCCTGCACCATTGAGAGGTATGGGCAGAGGAAGACAGACATCTGAAATGGGGCTCATGGGTAGAGAGCAGGGGGGGTCCAAACATGTAGTCAGCAAAGATGATTCCTTCCTGAGGTTTTTTGGGGGAAACTTCGGTTGAAGTTAGGCAAAACAGTGGGGAGAAATGGGTGGTCCAAAAGGCACAAAAGGCATTCAGCCAGCCAAGATGTCCATGATTTCACATCCAAGGGGAGAGAGCTGCAGGGAGGAGGTGAGGCATGCATATCCTCACTCTCTAAGTCTCTGGGTGTCCAGGCTTCAGGAGCAGGGGGAAAAGCTGAATGATCTGGAGAAGGAAGAAGCTACTGGTGGTGTTAACCTCCTAGTGCCTGGCACAACTTCCTAAGTGAAAGATTTCCAACAACTTCCACTCTTCTCCACCATTCTAATTAATTCTTATTTTTGTTCTGCTCCCTTGGGAAGCAAAAGCAGGACAAGGGAGAAGGAAAGATGAGGACACTACAGTTCCTATCTGGTTTTGACATGTGAGGCTGGATAGGAATCCAGGTGATTCCTATTTCCCTGGATTCCCAGCAAGAGCACCTAGGCAGCAGACTTGGGGCTCTCTAAGCTACTTTGGGGGCCACAGCAAAGTCCTTATCTAAGAAAATTGTCTTTCCTCAATCCTTCTTGCCCACACAGTCCCCTGAAGGGATGCAAAGAAAGTGAGGATGCAATGGAAGAGAAGGGAGACACCAAAGGGCATAAAGAGAGGAATCAGATGAAGAATAAGAATGACCAGGAAGCTGTGGCTGCCCCCAGGGAAATGGAATAAAAGAGTTCTTTTCCTTCTATTTTGGGAAAAATCCACGTAGTATATTGGAGGATGTTGCCTTTTTTGAGCCATGGGCACTGAGGGAAAACTGACTTTCTGCTTTTTATGCCAGATAAGGAAAGAAAACTGTGACACTGAAGAAAGGGCAAATGGGCCATTGAGGAAGAAAACCACATCTTCTTGGGGCTTGACTCAAATGCTGTACGTCTGCCAAGTCAGATTATCCTGGATCTGCACCTCTAAGAGCCCATGGTTCCAGTCAAATCTACTCTGCGAGCTAACATATCCTGACCCAACTTCTCTAAATCTACAGTAGATGCGAAAAAAAATTGAGTTTTTAAGGAATACGTCAAATCCTCACAAGTATCCCCAGACCTAAAGCACACCAAGACTAGGTGAAGATGGGATTCTTGGCTCTCCTCCCCCCTCCCTACACCTGGATCTTAGCATCATCATTGTCAGGGTCAGGTGCTGACAAGGTGCTGATTTCCCCTGAGCTGTTCTTCCATGCGGTTCTCCCGTCATCTGTCTAATCAGAGACAGGAAGCTAAAATGGTCACAGCCTTCCCAATACAGAGGAGAGAACAGTCCAGTCCTCTTTCATCTCTTCTTCCCATATTCCTACTTCATGGACATTGGGAGTAAAGAAAGAGCTTGAGGTCCTAGAGTCCCTCACTGAGGGTTAATGAGCATATTTCTCTTGGAACTCAACATGAGATTCCAGTTATCACCAAATTACTGAGGGGAAACCAGGTTTGCAGTCACCAGCCATAACAGAGAGGTTTAAACAGGAATTACATCCAAGTACCAACTCCGTTTGCCAACTGTCTCTCTCATCATTGTTCCCTTTCCATGACTGCCAAACCCTGCACAGAAACCCTCCTTGAGTCAGAGGAAAAAGCTATAACCAGACTGAGTCCTCACACTATAACTGAGTCCTCCATTAGCTTGGTGGGTTGTTTGCTTTCACCTCTCTGGTTTTGTGGAGATTTAGAAGAAAGGTGCCCACTCAGGTCAGAGCAGAGTAAGCTTCCCTGAATGAGCCACTCCTGGCTTTGACTCCCACTGCATCAGTTTAAGATCCAGGTCATTTCCTCTGGAAAATGCTTTCTCTTACCCTTCATCTTCCTCTGTCTCAAACCCCCCTGCCTTCTCTCATCATTCCTGCTTTTCTGCCGTATCCCCTGTCTCCTGAATTCCCTCAGACCCTAATTCTACTCTTCCTGGACCCAGGCCTTTAAAGCTCTTAGCATATCTCTTTGCCAAGCCTCCATCTTTTTCGTATCTCACTCTTCATTCAAATAACTTTACTCCCCAAACTCCCTTCCAAATTTTTCTTAACTTAAAAAAAAAAAAGATCTTCAACTGTTCTCTTTTCTTCAGTTTAATCTTTACCCCAACTTCCTGTCAACCTTGTTCCTTTTAAAACCTGCCAGTTTCCCATATCCCCAATCACTTAAAACCTATTTCTTTTCTCCTTTGCCCCCAATGATGGTCTGGATACTCACTTTTGCTCTAACATCCCCCAAACCCTCTCAAACACTGATATCATTCCCTCCTTTCCCCTAAATCTCCTTGACACACTTCTACCCCCAAGCATCTTCTCACTTCATGTTACCCTAGTCCTTCAGACTCTTAGGTGCACCCAATTTCCCCCTTGTCTCCTCCTCACACCCGTTGCTTCTCTTTCTCCCACCACAACAGTCCCCATCCCTTCTTCCCCACTCACTCGGGTCTCCTGCTCAGGACGCCCTTGCCGAGGGCGGCGGGGGATTTGTGCTGAAGGAGAGTTCCAGCGGCAGCGCAACAACTCGGGGGACGCTCCTTCTGCTTGTCGGCGACGGCCCCGGGCGCCACTGGGTGCTGATGGAGCGACTGGGGTGCGTGAGCCCTGCTGCTGGGGCCCGGCTGGGGCTGCGCCAGGAGCTGTCCGTGGTGTTGAAGTGATGGCTGCTCTGGCGCGGGCTGTGGCGCGGCGTGCGAGAGCTGTCCGTGGTTCTGGACCGGTTCCTGGGCCCCGGCGGCGGCGGTGGCGGCGGTGGCCGGGGTAGCCGGCAGCAGGGCGGGCGACGGGGGGACGAGCCCGGGCGGAGGCTGGGCTTGCAGCAGCTGCTGGTGCTCCCACAGGCTGCGGTTCTCGGCGCTCAGCTCGTCCAGCCGCCGCTCCAGCTCATCGATGCGCTGGCGCTGGGTGTGGATGAGGCTCTGCTGGTTCTGCACGATGGCCGTGAGCTCCTTGAGGTAGAGCACGGCGCGCACCGGGTTCTCCAGCAGGCTCTCCATGCCGCCCGCCGCCGCCTGCGCCCTGCCTGCGCCTCGGCGGGCGGCGGGGAGCGCGAGGGCGCGCAGGAGCCGAGCAGCCCCGGCGATCCGCTCGCTTCCCTCTCCGGCGGGCCCGGCCTCCCTCCCCGCCGCCGGCGCCGCGTCACTGCCACACAGACATTCACATACGCACCGAGGGGCGGGACCGGGCGCCAGGGCCCACCCACCTCTGGGCTTGGTGAGGAGTTCGGCTTCCTGCAGAGCTGACAGGAGAGAAAGAAGGCGAATGAGAGAGTGGGTAGGGGAGCAGGATAAACGAAGGAGCCCCGGGATGGATAAGATAAATCTAGCAAGAAAGGGAAAGCGGGCGAGGCAGAAGCAGTGACACTGGGAAAGTGCAGTGGGACTGGTAGGAAAGAGAAATGTATTTAAAAAGAGGAAGTCGTGGGTCACTGAAAGGGTCAACAAATTCTTTTTCCTAGGTCCAGCCATCTCAGAAGCTGGGGGTCCATCTTAAAGACCTTCTGAGGAGAGGCCACATTTGCTCTATTGTTCTCAACTATCTATTCTGCTGGGGAATTCCCTGGAACACGAGGATCATAGGACTATAAGGGGCCCTAGAGAACATCCAGTCCTACTCCTTCCTTCAGCCAAGAGAAAACTTAGGATGGGAAGGCCTTTTGTGCTGGGTCTTCTCTGGGAAGGAGACCTCAGGACAGTTTTGGCCACTCTAATGGAACACAAACTAAATACACCAGGCTTTCTGTGTCATGGGCTAATGCTTCCAGAAACTTCTGAAAAGATCATTCTGTTTGGAAAACCTTTATGAAATGCATACTACCACCAAACACTGGGCTGGGTGGTGGTAAGATAAGGATGACTAGGATGGAAACTTTGGCTTCTTGAGGCTTATGATTAAGTAGGTGAAACAGGTAATAAATATTTAATTTCAATATACACTGGTGGTTGTAAGTGATAAGATGGAGCTATACCCAATGTGCTATAGGAGCCCAACAGCCTGGGGATCTGGGAAGGCTTATTGGAGGAAATAACACTTGCAGTGGGAAGGATTTTCCAGAAAGGGGAAACAGCACAAGCAAAAGCTCAGAGATAATGAATCAGCATGGACTGAATAATTTATTAATTTCTACAATACATGTATGTAAAACACCTACTAAGTGCTGAGTAATGTACTAGGAACTGTGCAGGCTATGCTTTGCATAGATAATAAGTTGCAATTTCTATAATCAAGGAGACTACAATCGAGTAGAGTAGATAATGACGTGCACATGAATAACTAAAATATAAACCAAAATTTCTATAAGAGCTCTTCAAGCCCAGTGCCAAAGGAGTTCAGCGGAGGGAGAGGTTGTGTTTGACCATGGTGATCTGAAAAGAAGGAGGTGTTCTTCAAGGTGGGCCATGAAGGATGGAAAGGATTTCAACAGGTGGACGGAACAGGGGGCCAAAAGATGGGGAAGATATGTGACACAGCAGGAAAAGACTTAGGAAAGGAAATATAGCACTTTAGTTTAATCTAATTTAGCAGGGAAATGACTTTTCTCTGGGCTATAAGTGCTCTTAGTATATCTGTTGTTGTTCTGTTCCATTCTCCACACAGGTGGCCTGTCAGGCTCCCTGTCTACCTGCTGTTCCCCTAAGGTAGACATATCTGTGAATATCATATGTCCAGTGAGCTGGACAAGCCACGTCCATCTGGTACCAGACATGAATGACCTTGTGGGAAGGGATCTGTGCTCTGCAAACATATTGATTTCTCTGCACTTGTATTGTGTTTTTATTTTGCTTTTCTCCCATGTATTTTCCTAGTAAACTTCCTTTTGTAAAGAATGAGTGTAGGAAGCTTATCCACAGCTGAGCCAACAGTTGGGAGAACCGAGCACTCAGGAGGATGCTTTGGTAGTGATCAGTTTTCCAGCTAAAGAATGAAGGTTGGGGGATGGAATGAAGGCACACAAAAACTCAAACACTTTTCTTCTGAATTGTCTTTGCTTGCCTGTTGATTTGTTGTCCAAGAGTTGGGTGCTCATAGAGACCAATACTATTTCTATAACTGAAACAGCCTGCAGCGTAATTATCCATGGGGCTTGTTTAAAATGCAGATTTCTGGGCCCCATATTAGTCCTGCTGTGTTGAAATCACTTAAGAATGGGGCCCAAGTGTTTTCATTTTTTGACTTTTTCTTTTATTTAAAAAAGTAAACTTTATTGAGCTATGATTTACATGTAATAATGTGCACCCACTTTGAGTGCACAGTTCAATGAATTTTGACAAATATATACACCCTTGTAATCAAGATTTCCATCACTGCAAAAAGTAACCTCATGCCCCTTTGCAGTCAATTACTCTCATCCTCAGCCCCAATCAACCACTGATCTGGTTTCTGTCAAGATAAATTAGTTTTGCCTGTTCTAGAATTTCATATAAATGGCAATCATAGAGTATATCCTCTTCTGCGTCTTTCTTTTTGCCCAGCATAATTCTTTTGAGGTTCATCTATTCTGTTATAGATATCAATAGTTTGTTCCCTTTTATTTCTGAGTAGTATTCTATGGTATGGATATACCATAACTTATCTATTCACCTGTTGATGGACGTTTTGGTTGTTTCCAGGTTTGAGTTATTTTGCATAAAGCTGCTATGATCAAGTTTTTGTGTGGACATATGTTCTCTTCTGTTTTTTTCATATGTTTTGTGTGGATATATGTTTTCATATATTTTATGTTTCGTATGTTTTATCTGGAGGACAAATCTAGAATTGGAATTGCTGAGTCATATTCTAAGTATTATTTAACTTAATAAGAAACTGCGAAATTGTTTTTCAAAGTGTTTGTACTATTTTTTATCCTCATCAGCAATGTATGAGACGTTCAAGTGTTTCACATCCTTGCTAACACTTGGTATTTTTAGCCTTTTTTGATGTTATCAATTTTCATGAGTAGTAGTATATTAAGGTGGCTTTAATAAGTATTTCCCTGATGACTAATGCTGTTGAGCATCTTCTCATGTGCTTATGGCTATTTGTATATCTTCTTTGCTCACTGTTTCTGTTGAATTGTTTGTCTTCTTCTTATTGAGTTGTAAGAGTTCTTTATATATTCTGGAAAGCAGTCTTGGTCAGATGTATGTATTGCAAATATTTTCTCCAGTCAATGACTTGCCTTTTCATTTTCTTAACATTATCTTTTGAAGAGCAAAGGTTTTTATTTTGATAAAGAAAAACATCAATTTTTTCATTTATAGTTCATGCTTTTTGTGTCCTATCTAAAAATTCTTTGTCTATCCCAAAGCCAAAAACAAATTCTCCTATGTTTTATTCTAGAAATTTTATCACTTTTGTTTTTATTTTTAGGTCTATGATCCATTTTGGGTTAATTTTTGCATTTGGTATGAAGAGTCAATGTTCATTTCTTCCTTAAATGTTTGATAGAATTCACCATTGAAGCCATCCCAGCCTGGAGGTTTCTTTGTGGGAAGATTTTTAACTACAAATACAAGTTCTTTAATAGTTACGGGGCTATTCAAATTTTCTATTTCTTTGTGTATCCATTTCAGTAATCTGTCTCTCTGGTAGGCAGAATGACCTCCCAAAGATGTCTATGTCTTAATCTCCAAAATCTGTGAATGTGTTACCTTACACAGCAAAAGTGACTTTATGTGATTAAGTTAATCTTGAAATGGATAGATTATCCTGGATTATCTGGATGAATCCAATGTAATCACAAGAGTCTTTATAAGAGGGAGATGAGTGTCAGAGAGGAGATGTGACAACAGAAGCAGAGGTCAGAGTGAAACAGTTGCTATCTGGGAACCAGAAGCCAAGAGAATGCAGGTAGCCTATAGAAGCTGGAAAAGGAAGGGAAAGAGATTCTGCTCCAGAGCCTCCAGAAGGAATGCAATCCTGCCGATACCTTGATTTTAGCCAAGTGAAACCCATTTTGGACTTCTGACTTCCAGAACTGTAAGATAACAAATTTGTGTTTTAAGTCGCTATGTTTGTGGTAATTTAACAGCAGCAATAGGAAATGAATACATGTCTTTCAAGAATATATCCATTTCATCTGAGTTGTCCAACTTGTTGGCATGAAGTTGTTTATAATATTTTCCTACTAGCCTTTTAATGTCTGTAGGCTGTGTAGTGATGTCTCCTCTTTTATTCCTGATATTGGTAATTTGGGTATTCTTTTTTTTTTTTTTTAAATCAGTCTGGCTAAAGATTTATCCACTTTTATGATACTTTCAAACAACCAGTTTTTGATGTCGTTGATTTTTCTCTATTGTTTGTCCATTTTCTATTTCATTGATTTCCTCTCTTGCCTTTAGGTTTTCCTTTTTCTACCTACTTTTGTTTCCATTTGCTCTTCTTTTACTGGCTTCTTGAGATGGAAGCTTACACAATTGGCTTTAGACCTTTCTTCTTTTTTAATACAAGCACTCAAAGCTCTAAAGTTCCCACTAAGCACTGTTCTAGTTGCATCCCACAAATTTTGTTGTCATTTTCATTCAGTGCAAAATATTTTATAATTTCCCTTGTTACTTCCAAATCTTTCTATTATCGATTTCTAATTTAATTCCTTTGTGGTCAGAGAACATACTCCGTATGAGTCCAGTGTTTTTAAATTAATTGAAACTTTTGGAACTTTTATATGGTCCAATTTATGGTCTCTTTTGATGAATGTCCCATGTGTAATTGTCTGATAGTCACTCCAGCTGTCTCATTATTAATGTTTGTGTGTGCGGTAGGCAGAATAATAGCTCCCAAAAATGTCCATATCCTGTCCTGGGAACCTGTGAATATGTTACCGTACATGGCCAAGGGGACTTTGCAGATGCCTTAAAATTAAGGACTTTTTTTTTTTTAATTTTATTTATTTGTTTTTTTCCCCCAAAGCCCCAGCAGATAGTTGCATGTCACAGCTGCACATCCTTCCAGCTGCCGTATGCGGGACACGGCCTCAGCATGGCCGGAGATGCGGTGCGTCGGTGCGCGCCCGGGATCCGAACCCGGGCCGCCAGCAGCAGAGCGGGTGCACCCAACCACTAAGCCACGGGGCCGGTCCATAAAATTAAGGACTTTGAAATGGGGAGATTGTCCTGGATTATTTAGGTGCGCCCAACCTA